ATATATTTATAAATACAAATATTTTTATTTTATTTTCTAATAATTTACTGTATTACACTTGGAGTTAGAGATATTTGCTCAACATGAGGGTTCCACACTGCAGTACCTGCTTTCCTATAGTAGCACAGTGAAGCGTTGTACTGCGCTATGACACGAAAAATTAGAATAATCAAGGCAGTTCCTTCCTCTCTGTAGGAAAGGAGGCTGGAACCCAAACTGTCCAGCTTTCCCTGAGCCTTGTAAGCAAAGAACCTAAAAAGAGACTACAATTTTCAGTAACAGGCAGTACAAAATATTTGAAGCTACCGTTGGCATGCCTCCCTTACACAGGCTCTCTTCCACGTTACTGCCTAGATCTAGGGAAGAGCAAAAGGAACTTCCAAAAATGTCAGACAGATTCCACACCTTCCACTCAAAGAGGCTCTAGCTCTGCTAACTTCTTCTTTTCTTTCCTGGAAATGTCCACAATAGTCTCACTGGGAGAGGAGATAATTCTGTATATACTGAACAGAGGAGAAGAAACCGTACCCTGTAAATAGGTAGGCAGTGGGTATGCAGCTTGTGCATGACCAGGAGCATGGCGCCAAGTTTGTGAGTACTTTGCTGCTGCTCCTTGTGGAGCTCCGCAGTGAGACTCTCCTATCCCTGCAACGTTATCACAAAAAATGACACATCCAGCACATTTATCATTTTGGCTGTTTGCATTCTCATCATCAGGGAGGAGGACATACATCAAAAATAAAACTCTTCCTCTGCAGAGAAATTGTGTCTCTTTAGGAAAGGCCTTTATAGGATAAAGGCTTTTACTTTGGAGGCAGAAATCCGTTAGCATTACAGAGATCTGCTCATTTTGGCAGAAATCTCGTGAAATTAATAGATTCCGTTTCTTTTACATACGGGATACTGAATAAGACTCTTAATGATGGAAGTTTACCCTCATAGACTTTACCCTAATGGCATCTTCACTTAATTTACCTAATAAAACCTTCATTGCGAATTGAGTAACCGTTCTCCTTTTTAACAAGTTTGCCAGCCTGCAGATAATTTCAGAGACAGGATCTATTTATGAGAGTACATTAGCAAAATATACAATCCAGCCATGATTTACCTTTCTTGTGTTAACTTTTGCTGAGCAGGAGGGAGTCTGCAATCGAGGCTTTTAACTGCTAGTTCTGTGGTACTAGTCGGTCCCACCCCCTCTCCGAACAGAGTTTTGATTTTGAAGGGCCTAAACCACAGTAGAAGTCTTAGATCCCACAGCCTGTTAGACGTATAACAAAGCATAAGCACCAAAGCAGGTAGTTTTGTGAGAACACGGGCTCTCCAGCTGATTCACTATTCAGTCACTGAGCTGCTCCCTGTCGGGTCCTCTTGTCCGTAAGGCATACGTCCAGAAGTGATGTAAAGATTTTCCTTAATTAATCTCTTCTGCTAAGGGTACAAAGGAAAAATCTTATTGTGGGGAATGAATGAATTTTGATAAAATGTTCTAAAAGGCTTCAGCCAGAGGCAGAGCTGTTAGAGAAAATAGTTCAAATAAGTGAAGTTTGGTAAAATTGCTAGCAATTGAAACTGAGTTGCTATTATTAGAGGTATTGAGCATTCTTAAAATTCAGAGTGGTGCTATCAGTACCGCATATAGTACTGTGAGCTCTTTTTCTAGCAGTTAAGGAAAGTAGCCTTTAGACAAACATTTTGATTTTGTAACTATATTCTGACATTTGTGGGTTTGATGTTCCCACTTCCTGCAAGCCTACAATGCAGGAATTAGAGGGTTTGTAGAAGAACCATCTGGGGAACAGCAGCATAATTCTGGCACTCTTCCTTGGGGTTTTCTTTTCTTGCATAAAAATATAAGAATGAACCATCTCCCCTGAACTCACCAAAGCCTGAGCAACAAAGACAAGCACGGTTAGTCTGTATCGCAGAGGACCTTTCAGTTTCTGCAAGAATTGAAAAGGAGAGTTGAATTCTTTCCTTCGGCAGCCGTTGCCTAGCTTCTTCCCCAACTCCATCCTCCCTCTGACATCCATATAACAAGCTAGTGCCTGGGTGACTCCTCGTGCGCCGGGCAGTACTGAGTCCCTTCTCGCAGGAACCTGTAGTATAGCAATTCCCCAGGGTGTCCTTGAACAGATAGTGGGGGTTTTGAAGTTGCTAAGCCATGACACCTAAAGGATAGAGGAATTTCAAAATGCTCGACAAATACGTGCTGGCACACTTGGATATGCATACAGGAGGCACATTTTGGTATGGATATGTAGGAAGAAATAGAAGGATAGAGAGAGTTTGAACCCATGGCAGTCATCCCGCTCTTTGTCTCCCAGATGTGAATAGCATGCTTGATTCTGCCTGTAGATGTCAAGACCTGGCCCCGCTGCACTGGCATAACACAGTTTTTGCTCTAAGGGGAAAACCTTTTACATGACCAGCCCTGTCTCATAAGCCTTTTCTCTGTTAGTAATCTTAAAAGAGAACACCACCTTACTGTGCAGACCTAGGGATAGGATTTATTTTAAGAAGTGCACATTTCACGTAAGTTGGCAGTATCGGCTACGGTGGCGATGACGGCTCTAATTGATGCCCTCTTACCTACCTATCCCCATCAGCTCCAATGACTTTCAAAGGACACGCGTGATTACCTTAGATGACAAACATTTTTTTTTTAATGCCCTTTATGACTTCATTTCAGACCTCTGTGTAGTTCTTTCCTAGTGCAATGTGGCACATATTGTCAACGAACTATTTGCTTCTTTGCCAATATTTTTCTTCTTTTGCCTTTTATTATCCGCTCTGCCACAAATTCTAATTCTTTTGATGTCACACAGAAATCATAGAATCATGATTCTGTGAGGTATTGCTTCTTCACAAAAGTCTCTGCTTACTCTCAGTTTCAAACCATAGAAAACATAGATGGAGACGTCAGCTTGCACCTTCTCTGAGAATGCTGAGACTAGTAATGAGCAAACATTCTTCCAAGAGCTACAGAGGAAATCTTTTGAGTCTCATCATGTGTTTCATATATTTTCCAGCTGTATTTCATATTAGCACTTTCAGCTTTCTGCACAGTTATACTTTTCTACAAATATATGCAAAATAGCGCAAAATGTTACTCTTAAACCATATTTCTCTTTTTCCCAGACAGTAGAAATTGACTGGTTTCAAAACAGATTTATGTCAGAAGATTCCCACATGGAGTATGCGCATTGATGAGCAGGAAGTGTTCCTGGGCAAGAGCCATGGTTTCTCCACACCACTGCCTTGCGCCGGTCTCAGGAGCGCTTCTGATATTCTGCTACCATCTTCTCTAAGCCAATTTGGTGTTCTTCCCTCCATGTTATCCTCCATAAAACAGTATGACGTGCCACGAATTATACATTTAGAGTAAGGCAGATCCGTCTATCAATTCAGTCAAGAGCTACGATGATGTGCTTTTTTGCCTCTAAGTGGTTAACAATTGCAAAAGATTCTTTTTAATGCTTAGTACTTTATTTGCTTTATTTTTCTTTTTAGTGCATTGGAAAATAAATCTAAAACATTTCTTCTGTTATCTAGCACTTTAAGCCTTTTCATAGCATTTGTAACGTCTCTTTGCCAACACTCCATCTGTGATTTTAGCTTGCAGGAAACACTTTGCGATTCTGTTATTAGCTTAGATGCAGAGAGCTGCTGTTTAAATATTAATTGTAACTTCCCTTGTAAGTGCAGTCAAACCCACTGAGTAACTTGTGAAGTTCAATAAATATCTAGGAGAGTGTGGGGAGCGTGTTATGGGTACAGCCTGCTCTTAGTCTTAGCAAAGGTCTTACAACAGTGCAAAATAGATCATGTCCTGATGCTTGCGGTTACTTTTCCTCTTCTTACCTCAGTCCCCCTCCTTGTACGCACACAACAAAGGGAAAGAAAAAAGAATAACGTTAAACTGCAAACATACTTCTTTGCACGGTTAGTGAGAGGACCACCACGCAGTGCTTGCAAGAAAAGATGCGAGATCCATCATTTTGTTTCAAATCCTAGTTATTGGACAAATGCTTTTGTTAAGTACTTGTGTATCGCTCCGTCAAGAATCACACCTCGGTAGAGTTATCTTGTGGTTGAACCCTTTTCTTCTGTTGTCAGTCATGAACCTCACCCGGTTTCATTTCTTGATTCTACAAAATGTACTTTACACTTAAAAAATAAAAATAGGAAAATATTATGTGGTTACAGACATTTCAATAAAGTGTATTTGATAAAATGAGAAACAAAGTAGTTAATACCAATCTGACCAGCCTGTTTTCTGTGGATCACCAGAGCATTGTAATTGTAATACTTGTATTGGGTATAATTGCAGGAGAATCAGCCCCATTAAAATTGTACGTTGTATTTTTACATCTCTTCTTCTTCCAGATGGTTATTAATCTTTTATTGGTGAGGTGGTTTGCCTACGGTGTAATGGGAAATTTTTCCTCATGTCATTTAAGTGAGTTACTTCTCTTTGTGTTTGTAGGTGGACTGAATTTCAATATGCTGAATTCTGTTAATTGCTTAGAATTTACAGACTTTTCTTAGTATCTTGCAAATGTATAATAAATTTTTTTTTTTTAAAAAAAAGTAGTACCCACATTTTCCTTTTCTTTTTCAGCATTCTGTGAAGAGGGGTGTAGATACGGTGGAACTTGTGTAGCCCCTAACAAATGTGTCTGCCCTTCTGGATTCACAGGAAGTCATTGTGAGAAAGGTAAAGCTTTACTGAAACACACCTCCTTCTTTGGTAACGAGAAATATGATATGCTGAATTGAGAAATAATGACTTTCTGTTCATTCTGCTTGATATTTTCTCTTAATTGAAGATATGACTGTTCCATAGCTGCCTTTGCCTAACTGCAAGCTACTCTTAAACAAGGAAAATTTTAGACAATCAGGGATGTATCTGCTTTTGCTTCCAGTGGACACTTTTAGTTAATTAGAGGGGATGGCAAATGAAAAAGGCTTACTCCACCTATCTTCTGTGGTGCAAACTCAAGGTCACCTGCTTTTTCTGAATGTGTTGTGCAAACTAGACCAGAATTTGGATGCTTGCTTTTCACTTAAATGTATTGAATTCTTAAGATTTGATTTGTTTCTAAGTCACTGAAGCCACTAATTTTCATAGAGTAACAGCCTATTGAAATATATCTCACTAGCGATGATTTGATTCAGCCTTTTCCCAGTTTTTTTCCATTTCAAGATTTGCTTCTGACAGCCTCATAGGTCCACCTTTCTGTTCATTCCACAAAGATCTGATTCCTTGTCTACCTTAAATGAGAAGGAAGGGATCTTACAGAATTCCAAGAAGGACTCTCATTAGATTATTTAGATGACAGATTTGGGATTTTATTTTGGTCTGTATTTATTGAGGTTGTATTTCATTTAAATAACCCAATGATAGAGGCTTTTTGCATTGCGTGTTTGTTAATGAACCTTTTGCACTTGCCTTTGCTGGTGAAAATAGAGCAGATTGTTAACACAGGCTAATTATAATCTCATCCATACTAGCATAATGCAATGAGGTTTCTTTAAGGAAGAAAAAAAGAAAAAGAAAACCAAGAAATAATGGTTAAGTTAAATCACTGGAACCACTTGTTACCCAGAGATTGTTCAATAATTCATCTATAGCAGTATCTGTTTAATACATGGCTGTTCTAATATAATATCAAGTAATTTAAACCCACATGTCAACAAATCTGCTTTGAGTAGCATCTGAAAACTGCTGAAGCTTTTTATGGATGTACTCAAATCACTGTGTATTAAAATCCCATAGTTTCTAGTTGTCAGCATTGTTTCTAATTGTTTGGGAATGAACTAGGATGGTAATATTTTCATGTAATCTTGAATTGAGTACTGCAATTTTTTTTTTTTTTTTTTTTTTTGCCTATAGTCTTTGGGTTATTTCTTTTAAATAGAGAAAAGCTCCCAAACCTCCTGGGATTCAGCAGTAACTACTGGCAATGCACGTGATGGAGTAATACAAGAACTACCTGCCCTACAGCCCCATCTACCATAGCTCCCCGGCTTCTAATCCTGCTAGTTATCCTCTTCCATGGATAGTGTCTAAAACATCTGTTATTCAGAGGGATGCGGGATACTAGAAATGAGGTCTGTGCATGTGAAAATATGGCACTGCGAAACCAGTACCTGCATTGCCCGAAGGTGCCCTGCCTCCTCACGGAGCCGGTGGCTTTAGGCCAGCTTTCAGGTCGACTACCTCTGTTTCTTTCAGCCATGAATCTCAGAACTGTCTTTTTTTCTTGTAGCTGTAAAGGGACTTTCATAACTAGAACACAGAGTCTTTAAACTGTTGAAGTGATGGTTTAAAATTGATAAATGGATGACATAACCATTGTTGACTCCTGTGTTTTTCATGTCTTTTGTATTGTTTTGATTTAAAATATGAGGTAGCACACCAAGTAAAGGAAACATGGCAGGCATGCTATTCTCATTATATCAAGAAATTTAGAGGTAGATGTCAGAAGGAGCTACCTTCTGTGTATAAAATCTATATGATTTGAACCAAAGGAAGTTTATTGTTTTCCTTTGGAGATGCATAGGATTTAACAGTATGCTATAAGGCAAGGAAATGATGCTAACTTTGAGAAATCTGATATGGAAACTGATTTGAGAATGAGTACGGCTTTGCATATGAGAAGTGACACTTGAGTTGTGTTAGAGAGCTTGAAAACTTCAGCAGGTATACCTTATGTCATATGTATATTTTGGTGGCTAAGTGGATATCAGATCTGCGTGAGAACAGCTTCAGACATCTCAAGGTGCATGTCCTGGAAAAACTAGATGTTCAGGGCAGAAGGATGATGAACCACCTTTCAAGCAGCTCCCCTTTGCTTACCTGCTTACTCCTCGAAGATGTAGCGCTGTCAGGAAGAGGAGGCAGTTCAGTAAAGACTTCCCTCATAGTCACCGCAGTTTGCTGCAGTGTTTTTAGAGGACACCTAAAAAATTCCAAATCTACATTTGTTCGTTTGTTTTCCTGTTGTCTGTAATGTTAGAAATAAGCACTTTGTTATATTTAACATATAGTAGCACTCCCTCAATCATTATGACATAGACCAAAGACGGTGAAATGGTGGGACGTCACTTTGAATCAAAGCTTAAATGTTCCTGGTAAAATCTTGTTTGATGGAAGCTTGTGGTGAACTGATGCATATCAGAAGTAAAATGATGTGTTTTGGTAATGTATTCTATTCACCACGGTGCATTTAAAAATGTCCTTCAAACCGACAACACAGCAATTCCTTATACATTATTTGTGAGCTGAAAGGACTCGTCACTGGCTAAAAACAGTATGACCCAAATTGGCTTCAACATCATGTGAAGGGTAAAATGAACCAGTAATTAGAAATGTTGTTGAAAAGCAGGTGCGTTTACTTCTGAATATGAATCATATGTTACTCATCGTTTCTGACTGCCTGGCTGAAATGATATTAAGTTAATTAAAAATTCAGAGATATTTGAGAAGGGTAGGATTTATGTTGGTAATTTACTCAGGTGAAATTAAAATACACATTTAAGGCTTATGTACAAATACATAATTCATCATGTTGCTAAGAAGAATTACCTCTTGCCAGTTGCTTTGCCTGAAATGAGGAATCATCATAACACAGTTGTGGGGCTGTCTTTTCTTTTTGCGTCCGAGGTGAACTGCAAATTGATACTCAGAGATACTGTCAAGGAATTCCTCCTTCCATCCATTCTTCAGAATGCTGTTTCTTTAAGTACGTGCTCGATGTTGTTTTCTGTTGAGGATCTGATTCTATCTTCTAATCAATTGTTTGTTTGTTTGTTTTGTGTTTAGCTGGCCAGGGCTGAAATCAATGATCTCTGTGATCGTTACCATTTGCGATCACATCTAACACAGTTGTGATACCCACGCTGGAAAGTTTTTATGTTAGAATTTTTGCTGACGTTGCCTTATGGTTCTAGCATGTACGTGCCTGACGGCCGAGCTGGAGCTACACATCCTTAACTGTGTGTAACGCTGTTGGCTTGAGCCCAGGTGCATCCTTGGCAGGGATCCCTGTTAAAGGCTTCCGAGAGACATTCTGCTGTGCAGAGAGGAATGCAAACACAGTGCTCTGTGGGGGTTGTTGGCAGCATGGATTAAAATGCCCTAATTTTCCATCCAGTGATATTTTCTCAATTTTATATTTTTTCAACATTAAAAAAAAAAAATCCCATCGTTTCTTGAGCTGCTTTTCTCTCTCTGTGGATGAGCTGCAGGTCAGTGGAGTTTTAATGCTGGGTTTTTTTAGACAGGATTTGCCATTATTCTGTATTTGTGGAATGTTAGTCACTACTTCTGCTGATGAAGTGGTGAGGATGAGACAGGCAGAACAATCTGTGTCAAAGGCAGGAGCACACAGATGATTGAGTGCCTAGAAATTGCAGGCATTCCTTGAACGCCTACCTGCGTGTGGTGGAGTCCTCTGTGTGTGCCTAAGAAATACATATCAATGTCTATACAGCTCTGCGATGGTGACCAGTGGCGGCAGAAATTTCAGCTAAGGGTTCATTACAGTACCTGTCTGTACAAATTATAATTTTGGGCAATGAGCAGGAACCGGCAGAAGGGTTTGAAGCGGGTTCCCAACTAGGGGCAAGTTGAAGAAAGTGCAGTGTTTTTCCAAAAGCTGTGGGAGGGCTTTTGGCAGTGGTGGGGCATCACCTTCAAAAGGGATTCAAAACAATTGTACCAATCTTTGCTCCCCTGGGTCATGAAAGCTACTGTCTGAGCTGGAACACAATGAATGGGGAATATGATTCTGGTAGATTAGAAAGATGTTGTGTAGGCTGGAGCCCAGAGGTAAATATTTTTGTGGTAGCTACATGTGTATTCATAGTCTTTGTAAAGCACTGGAGAAGGGTTTTCTCGCAGAACGATAGAATGCTGTCAAAGAATTACCTGCTGATTGTAAACAGTCAGAAGCAAGGGTAAGGCATGGCAGTGAAGCATCAGGATGTGATAATTGCTGAGGTTATTCTTTGTGTTGTTTTGAACTGTGTGTACAAAAGATTGTCTGATATTGGGGTGAGAGGTCATGTTCAGTTTGTACCATGGCTGAGAAATGTGCTTTGAATCCAAATAATTATATTGCAAGGGGAAAAAAACAAACCCAAGAATCAACACCTGCAGAATTGCAGTAGTTTCATATGGATCCTTCAGTGCAATCATAGATTTCACGGGTATGCAATGAAATGTTGCTATGCTTATATCTTGAAGTTGGAGATGTCATGTATACGTCATGAAAATGAAGAAGTCTTTAGCTGATTTATTTCATAATAGTTGACAGTATCTGGAGTTGTTGTCTAAGAAGTTGCATACTTCTTTATGTATTTGTGTACTTAAATTGGCTCTTCTGGAATATATTGTCTTCTGCAGTCCTTTGGGTAAAACTCCCTACAGTCAGTAGTAGTTTGGACCCTGGAGATAAAAAAAAGAAGTGAGAATTATATTTCCCTGTGCTATTCATTGATTCCTGAGCTGGATCAATCTTTAGGTGTGTAGCTATCAAAGACATTTCAGTTGAAGAACCTGGTTTAAAAAAATAAGCAAACAAAACCCAAAGCAAAGCAGAGAAAGAGATTTTTTTCAGTGAGTAAGGTAAGCTAAATATCAAAACTCCCTAACTTTCTCTAAGATCTTTTGTAAAATATGGAGCAAGGTTTATTTTGGGAAACAACCCA